ACTCTCTTCTCCCCCCCCCTCCCCGGCATGGTCCTGGCACCTGTCCCACTGCTCATCTCCTGGGCCCTATCACCTGTCCCTCTTATCTCTGCCCCATTGGAACTCCCCCATTGCCTCTCACCCCTTAGTTCCCCAGTGCCTGACCTTACCCTGGCTTCCCTGTGCCCGTGGGGTCTGTCCCCTTCTCCTCAATGCCTGCCCCTCCCCTCACCCCCCGCAGTCCCCTCCCTTCATCCTCCTCTGTCCTCATGTAGCCGACTGCTCTTGTCCCTCATTGTACTTGTGCCTGCCCCTCCCCTCTGCCCCATTACCTGCCCCTCCTCTTTGTTCTCCCAGCAGCAGCCTGTTCCCTCCACTCCCGCACTGTCTCCTTCCCGCTCCACCCCCTCCTGCCCTGACCCTGCTCATTGACCCCTCACAGGCAGAGGGGGGCCTCACTTCCCTCAGACAATACTCCGCCCAGTGATTAATGGGGGGGCAGGTTACTTTCCTTCTGACCCCAGGGATCAGCCCCTGTCCTACTCTGACTCTGTGACTCTCCCCAGTGGACATGACTCTGGATCCAGACACAGCAAATCCCTGGCTCGTCCTCTCTGAGGATCGGAAACGTGTGAGAGATGGAGACACGCGCCAGGATCTGCCCGACAACCCGGAGAGATTTGACACTTCTGTCTGTGTGCTGGGTGCCGAGGGGGTCATGGGCGGGAGGCGTTACTGGGAGGTGGAGGTGGGAGACAAGACTGCCTGGGACCTGGGGGTCTGCAGGTCACATACACACCTGAGAATGGATACTGGGTTGTGTTGCTGAGGGATGGGGAATACGAGGCTGGCACCTCCCCCCTGTTCCCCCTCCCCGTGAGCGCCAGGCCCAGCCGGGTGGGGGTTTTCCTGGACTACGAGGCGGGCAAGGTCTCGTTTTACAATGTGACTGACAGGTCCCATCTCTTCACCTTCACCGGCACCTTCTCCGGGATGCTGTGCCCTTTCTTCAGTCCTGGTCTCGATGATGGTGCAAACACGGCTCCCCTGACCATCTGCCCAGCCCCGGCCCACGCCGGAGGGAATGGCGGTACAATGAGCTGGGACTCCTCTCCAGCTGCCCTGGGAGGGGGTATTGCAGGGGCTGCACCATGTGGGGTCAGTGGGAGGGGTCTTCACTGCACCCCCTAAATCCACTGCTGAGGGGTTAATCTCAGAGCATGGGCCCAGGCTGTCATGTAGATGGAACCAGCAACCCCCAAGCACCAACCCCAGGCCTGTTCCCATGGAGATGGAACCAAAGACATTGTCTCGTCCCCCCACCCCCGACCTTCCCCTCTGTTCCCAGCCCCAGGCCAGTGAGCTGAGAGAGGGGAGGGGAGAGGGTCAGATAAGGGTGGGAGAGTCAGCAGCAGTGGTAGTGGAAGAGAAGGCTGCTGACTGCGGGGACTGTAGGTCAGGGGTACAGCAGGTGTGGGCTGTGTGCAGTGGGGCTGGGAAGAGGGGTGCAAGCTGTGGGGTAAAGGGCAGAAGGAGTGCAGACTAGGGCAGGGGGGATGCAAACTGTGGGGCAGGGGCGGTAGGGTGCAGGCTGTGGAGTGCAGGGACAAGAGAAGTGTGGATACAATGTCAGGGTAACTACAGTGGCCAGGGATGGGGAGTGGGTACAGCAGCAGGAGTGGAAGAGCCCAGATCACAAGGGGATGGAGGATTAATGAAGGGGCAAGAGAGGAAGCCCCAAAGCGGAGGAGCCCAGTGAGTTCCGTGCGAGAGGGCAGTGCCCTGGCATCTCCTGCCCTGAGGGAATTTCCGCCCATGGAGGGGACTCAGTCACAGGGGCAGGAGTGCCAGGTCTGTGGCCTTGTTGCAGGGGCTGCTCTGTGCTGCGAACTATCCTGTGTCGGGAACCTGTTCCCAACACAATGTAGGGAGGGAAGGGGTGAGCTGGTGAAGGGGGGCCCTAGCCTCAGGGCTGTGTGAGGGATGGGCCCAGGCTGGGTGACTGGAGTCCCCACTCATGGGACAGAGCCTGGCAGATTTTCTCCTCCCCTTTTTACAGGCTGTTTTGTTCTGCCCCATCCACATTTTCTGCCTGTTTCCTTTCCCCACCCCCTGGCTCAGGACAGCAAATGGTGACAAACTGGGACCCTCCAGTCAGAATATTCTACTCCTGTGAGATCCCCGTGTACCACACAGACAAATACCCATGGTCCCGGTTATAAAATATTGCTGTCACAAGGTAACAAGACGGTTATTTAGTGCACAAAGAAAATAAAACATCTAAAACAAATTCATCCAGATTGCTTGGGTCCCACCTACTTGGCTTCCCACAAAGCTGGGGTGAAAAGCTGTTAGACCCCAGCCCTCCTGGGCCAAGCCATGGCAGAGGTAGCAGGATTCACTCCCATCTTCTCCTGCCTCTGCCCTGGTGCTGAGGGGCCGGCCCCTTTCCTGCTGCCCCAACTCTTATTCCCACAATGCACTTTGTGCAGGGGCCCTTGGTCTTTGTGAAAAGGTGTGTGGCTGGGAGCCAGGACTCAGGACCCTTCCCCCCTCTGACCCGCTCACACTGTCTGGCTGCCTCCAGCACCGGCTGGGCCCCGGGGGCCGCTGCAGCTGTGATGGCATCAGGCCCTTCCCGCCCGCCTGCTCAGTCTGGAGATGGAGCTCCAGGGGGCCTCAGACACCCAGCAAGAGGAACAAAACTCTCTTTGCTGAACCTCAGTGCATGGAAGCTGAAGCACCTGAACCTTGTCACAACCAGCTGAGCCCCAGCAGGTCCCACTGAGATTTGAACTCAGATTGCAGGATTCAGAGTCTTGAGTGCTGCCCCTTACACCATAGGACCTGTGGTGTGAAAGTGCAGTGGGCACCTCTGACTCTCAGCTCTCAGGCTGGCCTCTGCTCTCCTGGCTTCTCTCCAGCTGCTTTGTCTCCCAGGACTCTCTGTCCTGCCCCAGCTCTGCTGCTTTCAGGGCAAATCCCTTGTTAGGACCAGTCACACTCTGGGGGTCAGTGAGGGCCCCTCCTACCTAAGATGTGTGTTACACAAAAGCCTCGTTTCCTGCTCAGTTCCCAACACTGGATGCAAACACATGGTTGCTCTGGGGGTGTAACAAGTGCCCCCTTAAAAAGCTCATCAATTGAAATGAAACTTTTACATCTCCAGCTGTGTCACACTTTGGATTTCTATTGAACAGGGATTCTTCAAATGACCATAAACCCCTAATGTGCTCTAGTGCCAATGCACATAAACCAGGCAAACCCGTCCCTCAGCTGGAACCAATTCAAACCGGCTCTGTGTGTGTGTCTGGTTTCTGTTTCCATCCATTCAACAAGAGTATGATCTGATCTGGATGCCCATTGGCTCGTCCTTACTCTCCTTTGGCCGTGTCCTGCAGAAGAACAAGGACCACGTCC